TATAATAATAATAATATTTAGAATGTATTATATATTCTATATTATTATCCTCATACCTATATTATCTGATATTCAGAACACGTAAACTATAAAATAAAGTGACCCTGTCACTAGAGGGTCACTTTTATCCAATGTCTCACCTGTTAAAGAAGTGTAGATATACTTACATTTTCAGCGGCCTGTGTATTGAAGAGCCGCTGCTTCTCCTTACCCAGCCACTGCCAGTATTCAACTGGTCAAATAGTTCAGATACTTACGGGCTGTTGGGAGGAACCACAAAGGCCTGCAGTGGAACAAGTATTTTACACCCCTGGAGGGGTAGAATACTTGCAGTGGCTTGGGGGAGGCGACACTGCAGCTGTTACCAGAATAGTAAGTATATCCACATTTCTTTTATAGATAAACTGTTGCGTAAAAGTGACCCTGTGGGGACAAGGTAACTTTAAACAAAAGTATGTCCTGAGAAAACAGAAAAATATGGAGACTGCAACTGCTGATACTAATTGCCTAGCTGCCATGCTGACCCTCATGGTTCAATAATTTGAGTCACTAACAGAACAGGTATTCAGATAAGGACATCTCACATTGCTCTGACTTTCATGATACTTTATTCTTATTTTTAGATAGTTAGAAAGGGTTTAAACATTGCCAGTTAATTTTTGATGTCTGGATCCTGTCTGGAGATTTACCTTCACTTCCTGTCCTGGAGAAGCAACAGGAAGTGATAGGATCTGTTTCCACTATGAAGAGAAATTCAGTCTAAAGCTGGCCATACGCTGGTAGATTTTCATATGAATGTTCATATGAAAAATATCATCACACTATTGGATGATGGCATCAGAGACTTGACAAATGTCATTCGAAATTGCACTTGATTTAACTGCTCCTTCAGTTTTTGAATGAATGGTGTTTCCTGAACAAAAACTACATGTTAGAATTTTGTTGGTTTGAGATTTTCCATCCTGCTACTTACATGGTGAAGATTTTTTTTCATTATTATGATCAAAAACTATCGTCAATTTGACGGCATGTACTATTAGAAAATTGAAGACATTTTTCTAACAAAATTCTCCTGGTGTATGGCCAGCTTTAGACAGTTATCAGAGCAACGGGTGTCCCATCGGAAAACGAGGTGGTCCAAATTTTAATCTAAGAGTACCTACGAATATGGGCCTATCATGGTGGTAAACAAGGCTGGGCCAAGGGGTAGGCAGAAGAGGCGGCTGCCTTGGGTGTTTCACCAGCATTGAGGGGGTGCAGAAAGCGCAGGATCTTCAACTTATGCTCCTACAGCAGTTTGCAGTTCATGTGCAGGGGAAGGGGGCACTTTGGACTTTTTGCCTTGGGTGATAGAGGACCTTGTCTGGGTACTTACGGTAATAATGGGTTCAGTATGAAAACTGAGCTGATGTTCAGACACTTGGAGGTGCCAGGTCTGTGTTGCCAGCGGCACTTTAGGAACCTTCATATGAGTATGACTTCAGGTCACAAAAAAACCTAAAGGCAGACTGTATCATTATTTATTTAGACAAGGGGTAGGCAAACTTCAGCCCTCCAGCTGTGGTGAAACTACAAATAACATCATGCATCTGCCTCTGGGAGTCATGCTTGTGGCTGTCAGAGTCTTGCAATACCTTATGGGACATGTAGTCTCACCACAGCTAGAGGGCTGAAGCTTGACTACCCCTGATCTAGACTATACATGCTTTCCTTTAAGCATATTGATAAGGGGGGGATGGGGGGACGGGGGGGGCAAGCACGAGTCTAACACAACAGATCAGATATTTACCTCAAACCCTCCGATGACGAGCAGAGCACTGATGCTATTAGCTCGTATCTGTTCAGCAATTTGGTCAAAATATTTAGCGGGAAGAGTTCTGAAATAAAATAAATACATTATTTGGTATAGGAAATGGACTAAAATATTGCAATAGACATGAGTTGGAATTCTAAGTACATGTGGATGAGACATGTCCATGTGAATGTCCAACATATGTTTGCAGGGAGGAAATAGGAAAAAAGGAGGGAACCACAAGTAAAACATGTATTAATGGTTGTTGTGGTGGATTAGATTTAGCTGCAATGCAATAAAAACACGCATGCATCTTCATAACATAACGCACATGCGTTTTCAAATGCAAAAGGGTGCTAAACATGACCCATCTTTCCCCACTTTGCTGCTCTCACGGAGCACACGTTTTTACCATCAAACTGAAATGTATTTCTCATTTGTATCTCTTTCTTCATGAATCTTTAAAATGGTCAGATGATCCCCCACACCCGGAAGCACCAGGTAGTGTCACTGGCTGTTTCAAAGGAAGAAACGATGGGGAAGCTCTAGTAAACCAGTATAAGGGGTCAAGGAGCAGAGGCATTGGCACTTTGCTCAGCATGAACCAGTGGCCAGTGACTCTATAAAAGATAACTATGGGGTAAGTGTTTTTTTCCCCACAGTTCTCTTTAGGGTCACGGGAGGACATATACTAACCTCCTCCCGTGACCCAAAGCTCAGTATACCGCGAGCTACAGCTCACGGTATACTGAAAACACCACAGACAGGCCGGATCCTGACATTACTGTCGAGATCCACCCCGATGCGTGAGTGACAGCGGGCTCTGCCTATCTAGAGGCAGAGCCAGCTGTACCCTCCCCCGTTCGTTCCCCCAGTCAGCGCTGGAGGATCGGAGTGGGGAGGGGAGAATCCCTGCAGGGAGCCGTGACTGCCAGTCACCGCTCACTGCAGGAAGACGATCGGGAAGTGAGCAAGCGACGGTATGTGTTCGCTCAGTTTCCGATCAATTGAGCCGAAGTGTGACAGTTTAATTGCTACAAGTCGGCTCGAACTATGAGGGTGAGTGATTTTCATTCACCTCATAGTTCTCCTTTAAGAGCCAGTATAACACTAGACCTATTATTAACAATCTAACATTCACAGCAATAAAATGCCCCAGGCCCATCCAGAATTTCAGCTATTTGATATCTCTATGGTTGTGCAGCTTCCAGTGAAGGCAACACAAAGGCAGAGTTCATGTAGTATGCTAGCAGCTATAAAAGTAAGGCAAGTCATAGGTATAGGACATATAATTGAGACCTTGAGATCATGATTTTTATGCCTGGGGTACTGCTTTAAAACATCCTAAGAAAACTATGCCACTCACTTGTAGGAAATGATTTATAAATCATCTGGCTGGCCATATGCTGGCTTAATGCCGTTCACAAGGCAATCTCCCCACTAGAAGGTGCATAGGAAATTCAGGCGGAGTTTATAATTTAAAAATCATTCCCTTAGGATATCAAATAAGATATCAGTACCTTTTGGTTCCCAAAAGAGATCCACCTTGACCAGTCCAGCCACCAACATCTCCCCATTTTATCTCTTTAACCTGTAGAAAGAAAATAAAAAGAATTTAGACAGTTTTCTGTTATCTTGCAACAATATGTGGAGGTCTAATGCATTAAAAGTGGGTAGTATGATTACCTAATGCACAAATATTAGAAGGAGGAGCAGGGCATAGAGCAGGGGTATGTAACTCTAGCCCTCCAGCTGGTGTGGCACTACAAGTCCCATGGCACACTGCAAGAGTGACATTAACAGACATGACTACCAGAGGCATGTTGGGATTTGTAGTTAAAGCACAGCTGAAAGGCCAGAGTTGCCCACCCCTGGCATAGAGTGTACGCCCAAGGTACTTTGTTAAAGTTTTAATGACATACGCTGTACACTCCAAAGATCACAACCTCACCATAGCTCTTAAAAGTATTTAGCTCAGGATTCTAATATTTTCTTTTCATTTCCAATTAATTTTCTTTTTCTTCTCTCTGCACATTGTGATTTATGGTGTAAGCCCTTTCTTTAATAAACTGTATCTACTATAATACTGGCCAGTGTCTGTTATCTGTGTAAATGGAGGACAGGTACACTTTAAATATACTGAACAGAAATAATAATACATCGTTTAGGTAGTTTGGGTTTATCTGACTATATATGATCTAGTAAGTGCAAAACATTATATATAGAAGTGGGCATCAGAGGACTCACCTGACCCTTAGCGAATCCTTCAAAGCCATCACTGACTGCAAACATCTTGTGTCCTTCTGTAATGCCGACTCTCACTGCAGACCTCACAGCAGCATTCATTCCAGCGGCTGGAGCCCCCACGTTCAGGACAGCCACATTAAAGTTACTCTGAAAAGAACAAGCAGCATGATATAAATACAGTACTGCAAGAACTGAGCGGGCAAGCACAGCATCAAGCAGGGGAGCAAAACACAGCAAACCTATTCACTTGAATGAATTCCTGATACCTGCGGTGACTCCAAATTGGCAAAGGGTTTTCTAGCTTTATAGTACATGTATAGGTCTTATAATCATTTAAAGTGGATGACCATGTTTTGGCAGCTGTCTTAAAACAGGCAACATTAACTAAGCGGATTAAAGCCTGTATCATGTGACCAGATACTGCTACCAAACTATTAGGTTATCTTTTTCGAAAAGAATGAGTGGTTAAATGAGGATCCAACTACTGGAGAAGAAGAGGCATGAGTGCATATCTCAGCTTATCTCAAGGGGGGTATAAAGGTGATCAGACAAGGTTTTAAAGCCTGCTTGATTCATCTTTCTACCCAAGACTGCTCAGCCAAGAGTTGTCTGCTGGCGCTGCAGATGACATGTCTCATGTGTATGGCCAGTTTTACAAAACAGCAGCCTTTATAAATAAGTTTAGCACCAGAGGGACAACTTTACTTCAGTGTCATGCTGTGTTCATATAGTCTGATAATGAAAATGTATATCTAACCAAGACTTTAAAATTTTTTTGTATGGTGTAGGGAAGGATATGAACCCCTATCAGCTATTTACTGTTGACTGTGTCTCCCCTGAGGAGATTTACCCTTTGTGTTTGTCCTGGGAAATCCAGAATTCTACAGCTATCACCAGAATAAGAGGTGAGCGTAAATCTCCCAATGGGGACCCTTGTTCTGGTGACAACGCTGACCGTTGTCACCAGAACAAGGGTCCCCATTGGGAGATTTACGCTCACCTCTTATTCTGGTGATAGCTGTAGAATTCTGGATTTCCCAGGACAAACACAAAGGGTAAATCTCCTCAGGGGAGACACAGTCAACAGTAAATAGCTGATAGGGGTTCATATCCTTCCCTACACCATACAAAAAAATTTTAAAGTCTTGGTTAGATATACATTTTCATTATCAGACTATATGAACACAGCATGACACTGAAGTAAAGTTGTCCCTCTGGTGCTAAACTTATTTATAAAGGCTGCTGTTTTGTAAAACTGGCCATACACATGAGACATGTCATCTGCAGCGCCAGCAGACAACTCTTGGCTGAGCAGTCTTGGGTAGAAAGATGAATCAAGCAGGCTTTAAAACCTTGTCTGATATATATATATATTCGTATTTTTTTATGGGTGTTAGGTCATATGTATCAGAAGTAGTAAAGGGAACAGGTATTACTAACCACTAATAAAATGTAAGATTGTTAAACCTATACAGTAATCAAAATAACACCTTAACATTTAGTAAGATGTTGGTAAGTTTCTGTGTTATTTGGAGGCCAGGTAAATGGTTACATATACTGCAGGCTTACTGGACTCTTTATGTCATACAACATTCCTATAAGTTATCCCTTTTTATATACTGTATGTTAGTCATTTTTGGTTGCTCTTCAAATTGTAAAGTCATCCTAATTAAGATCCTAGTGATAGCATCTTTGTAAATTATACATAACGACATAATTATGAACACATGTACATAATTGAACCTTGCTATTGATCCGAGTGTAGTAATTGCAGGATTCTAAAGCCGCCAGTTGATGGGAAGTGAACGACCACAATTACTGTACAACTGGGCGAATTCCCTCGATCAGTCAAGCTGGAAGATGTTTTGAATCGTATGAAAATCGATGGATTAGTGGCGTTTTCGTATGGTAACAAATTGCAACATGAACACTGCACATGCGCAAACGAAAATCTATTTTGACGATCGATGAAATTCAGCCAGTTAGTATTGCTAACGAACGATAATTGAAATCGACATTGGTCTGTGCGTAATGGGGCATTTGAGCGGAAATTGAGCATGGGTTCGATGACGGGGCGAAAGAAATCGAACAATAATCACAAGGTATATTGCCAGTTTAAAGCAATCTTATGGGATTATCCAAGTAAGACAGTAATTGATACAAACCACCCAATAATGATCCTCCAGAGCTCCCTTCCCCCACAATACTGAATTGGCCTTCCTCTCTCAATGACAACAATTTCAGGTTCTAGACTACCGACATACAGACTATTCATCGGTTTTGTTAGCAAATTTAAAAAAAACCTTTGTGTTCTCTTCTCCTGTTAGCTGCTTAATGATGTAATATGGATAGATATTTTCCTGTGGAATGATTAAACACTGAAAGGGCTTTTTTATATAGGCACTTATCTACCTATCATGGATGATAATATTAAAGTGACACTAAACTTAGAAGTTAAATCTTAAAAGTAGATTTGAATACCCCAACTATCACCAAAAATCTTATTTGTGTATCACTTGGCTGTAGATCCTCAAATCATCTCTGAATTGGTGCCGACGCTGTCCTTCCTTCTGGAGGGTGGCTACTTTTGTTCCCCATGGTCCCTGTGTGTGATGTAAAGTAGCCACGGCTCCAAGCTCGCTCCCGTGATGGACTACAATCTCATATTTAGTTTACTAATCTGTATTGAGACTGTGGGGAGCTACCTGTCAGGGAGCTTCACCCTCTCTATTTGCCTGGTGAACTTTAGCACTGAAAGTGAAAGAAAATCCCCAAATTTGGGCTGCCATCAGAACAGGAAGAGAAGGGAAATCTTCCAATGGGGACACTAGTTTCAGTGATCCTGCTGACCACCAGGGATTTCCTTAACTTCTTGTTGTGGCTATCAGACAGGAAGAGAAGGGAAACCTCCCCAGTGGGGCCAAAGAAGCTGGCAGGGGTCATAACCCATCCTTTCTCTATCCAAAACTAAAAACCAGTTTAAGTTTAACTCTGAAATGAGGCTCCTGGAACGTAAACCCTACATTTCCAAAGGTTTTGGTTTCTATGGATTGCCAGGATTGTTCTTCTTCAGACACTTTTATGCATAATTATACCTCTATGGGATGTAACAACCTATTAATTATTCTATTACCAACACAGTAGATGCTCAATGACGTAAGAAGATCTAATAAAATCAGGTAATGGTTGTTAATGTTACCAGGAGTACCAGCAGGCTTCCCTGCCAGTCATTCCCAAGCCAGCACTTAAAGTGACATTAAACCCTCAGATTTTTTAACATAAAACAATACTGTAATGTGTGCCTTACTGTAATCCATGGTTTTTTCCCTTCTCTTTGCTGCTCTTCCTTTTAAATCTGTATCTCTTCTCATGCTTGGGGAGAACTTCTGTTTTGCAGCAGACTGCCTTGTCTCTGGAATGACTACATGGTGTCTGTGTGTACGTTTGCAACCTGAGCCAGCACTACAGGAAGAGGCACTCAGCTGCAAAGGGAAGTTCTCCCCAAGCATGAGAAGACATGAGGATTTAAAAGGAAGAGCAGCAAAGAGAAGGGAAACGACCATGGATTACAGTAAGGCACACATTACAGTATTGGTTTATGTTAAAAATCTGAGGGTTTAATGTCACTTTAATTGCCTGGGATGGATTCTTTTTCAGCTTGTATTATATTATATTCGCTCCCTTTGAAGTTTGTTCCCTCTTGTTATTGCTCAGATATTTGCAGTTGGTTGATACAAGTCTGATTCTAAATGATTTTGAAAAAATAGTTGGTTTCAACATACCCCCAAGTCAGACTGCCATCTAATGTCTGTGGCTATCTCAGCTGTTACTGTTCTTACAGTACATGATGCGGTAAATATTAGTCTGCGCCCACTGAATGAGCGAATATTTACTAGTTGTTATTAGTGGGGAAGTAGCAGTTAGGGCTGAATTGTACTTTGCTCATGCCTTAGGTAGCACGCATGCAAGCTGAAAAACTTCACACAAGTTGAATCACATGCAATATTAAAGCATCATTTTAGAACCATTGGCCAATCTTAAGCACTAAACATAAAATTACGTACACTACAGGGGGTGTTATCCTGTTAGGAAGAGAAGACATTGTTAAGAAGAAGACGACAATGTTATTGTTTTTTAGTCATCTATTCGTGATGCATCCTATGCAGATTAATGATAAAGTAATAAAGCACTTCCATAGAAAGGTGAAATTATAGGGGCAGGCCTCAGGCACAAACTACTTATAGAAGAATAAAAAATGCAGCAGAACCAGCCAATCCTGTTCCAGTGAATGATTGTCCCATAGGTACAGGTGATGCTTTAATTCCAGGACCTTTCCTGAGGTGGGATGGCTATTTTAAAAGTTTCCTTATAAAATTATCAAAATTCAAGTCATGGATGACCCTTGTGGCTGATTGCTGTTCAAAATTCGAGCCGTTTGTGGTCCTGGCAGCCAATTACCGCAAAATTAGTAGAAATTCAAACTGTGGATGGCCCTGGCAGCTGATTCCTGCTGAGCTGCCCAAAATCCAAGCCATTGTTGACCTTGGCAGCCAATTTCCTCTGAACCGGCTTATATTCAAGCTGTGGGTGGCAATGGCAGCCGATTCCTGGTGAACTGGCCAAAATTAGAACCACAGGTGGCCATGTCAGCACAACCTGGCTTAACAAACATCAATTACAAAATCGAAGGAGCCGGGTGGGAAATTGTGGGCTGAACAGTAGCTGCACCAAATCAGATGCAGTTGCCGTACAGGTATACAGACAACTGCAGGTGCTCGCTGTCTGAATACAAGAGGCAACAGTGGGGATTCCTCTAAGGCTAGCTATATATTCCCAGATTTATCCACCCATGTTGTTTCGCGTGGATGTAGGAATCAATGAGTGTATGGCTAGCCTTAGACTATTGCAGACATATGTGTTATAGATAAGGAGCGCAAACAAGTAACAGAAGTGATCATTATCACTCGAAGAAATATTCTGACACAATGAGATAAGAAAGACATACAGTAACACAGTTCACATTACCTTTGGAAGTTCAGATATATTCTTCTTATGTGAAAGGAGCTTGTACGTGTTTAGATTGTTCTCAAAACTCCTGAAATATTCAATAAAAATATGGATTAATCATATAAAACACACAAAAGTATTTTCAAATGAATATATAAATATCAGCTTCAGGTATTCTGTACCTTCCACGCAACCTTACAGCATCTGCAAACCGCCTGTCATCCATTGCCTTCTGTACTTCTTGGGTCTTAGATTGAGAAAAGAGAAGAAAATCAGAATATCTTCAGATCCCATTCACACCTAAGCACTTCATGTTCATGTCCCGTAATGTCACTTTCATAACTTCTTATGTTTTAGTTCCACGCTGATATCTCAGAGGTTTAGAAATCAAAGTAAAGTTCAGGCTCAGAGAAGTTAAGTTCTTGCAGTTAATATATTTAGCACATTGGCTAGCTGTCTCCTGCCCTATGATAAGGGCAACTAAAATAGTACCATTGCCTTACAAAATCTGGCAGGAAAAATGTCAGTTAGATGGCTTTGTTCTTGATAAGATAATTGGGTAGCATGTGAGAACAGAGTAGACACCTAATTATACTGGAGTCTGCCGAAGTGAGGAATGTCTGCCAAATCCAGAGACTGATCCGAATGTTAACTGTGTCCCACAGTCCCCAATTCTCGTCATACCCATCATCCTATAGGATGACTCAGACACTCACCATCTGTACACATTCCATTAGAGGCAGGCGCACGGCTTGGTTTCCACATAAAGATACCACACAGGCAGGGGTTTCTGGAGTGGCTTCCAGTAAGGCTAGGACACATTCCACTCCCATCCTACTGGCCTGTAGAGGAAGATAATAATCTGTCAATACATAGCAACATTATACTCTAGCTCACCAAACATTTCCCAAGCTTAACATCTCTGCTCCAAACCCTGGCAGGAAAGACAGTTATTGTAACAATTTAATCATGGATAGAGATAGACAGACAGACAGATAGATAGATAGATAGATAGATAGATAGATAGATAGATAGATAGATAGAATCAAAAATAACCATAGGCAGGACTAATCACAAAAGGGTGAAGAGTTTGGAGAAGGCAGGAGAAGGGAACAATCTAGGACAAAATAGCTGTTTCGGAAAAATTCTCCAATTCAGCTCACTTTCCAGTTCAGCTATGTTGTCCTAGATTGTTTAGTTCTCCTGCCTTCTCCAAACTCTTCACCCTTTTGTGAATAACCCTGATAATCTTTTCATAATACAACATAGTCTTACAATGTTAAAAAAAACACTTACCAATATTCGGTCAAAGGCTGACGGGGTTCCTCCTCTCTGGACGTGACCCAATATTGTCACTCGTGTGTCAAACCCAAGCCGTGAAACCACAAGCTGGAAAAGGATGAACATTGTTTTTATTATTCTCTCAATCTTGCAATAAAGGTTGATGTGGCATGAGCGTACCACCCAACAATTCAAAAATATTTGCTGAAAGATTTCAGTAGCAAATACTAGTAGAAGCTGCATGACATCTACAGCACAATGACTTAAAGTGACACTAAACCTAGGAGTTAAAAATGTATTCAAGTACCTTATCTATTAACAAAAATGTATCTTATTTGAGTATTACTCAGATGTAGATCCTCAAGTCATCTTTGAATTCATGTTGACACTGTCCTTCCTCTGGAGGGTGGATACTTTTGTCCCCCATGGTCCCGGTGTGTGTTGTAAAGTAGCCACCGCTCCAAGCTCACTCCCATGATGGACTATAACCTCAGGATTAGATTTCTCATTTGTACTGAGATTGTAGTCTATCATGGGAGTGAGCTTGAAGTGGTGGCTACTTCACAACATACACAGGGACCATGGGGAACAAAAGTAGCCACCCTCCAGAAGGAAGGACAGTGTCAACATGAATTCAGGGATGACTTGAGGATTTACATCTGAGTGAAATTACAAATAGATACATTTATGTTAAAGTGATATTAAAGGCAAACATTTTTTCACTCCCCCCCATGTAAATGTTAGCACTTACCTTAAATGATGTCTCTTTTTCCGATCCTCCTCTTCTTTCCCCATGTTTTCATGTGTCCCTCAAGCGGTGTGACGTCACTCCGATCCAGCGCTGACTGCTCTGTCTCTCCGATCCAGTGGTGTCTGCAGGCGGGTGCACGCGTCCATAGACTTACCTTGCGTCTCTGCTCGTCTCCCGGCCGAGAATCGGAACTGCGCATGCGCCCGCCCCAAGATCCTTTGCGGCCGTACGAGCAGTTCCTGATTCTCGGTGTGGGAGCGAGCAGCGATAACGAGGTAAATTTAAAACGATTTTAAGCGTTTTTTGGTTTTTTTTACACTTCTTGCCTATATATACTGCTTGCTAGCAGTAGATATAAGCAAAAAAACCGGAGGGTTTAGAACCCCTTTAATACTTAGGGTAGTTGAATGCATTTTTAAGATTTAACACCTGAGTTTAATATCAATTTATATATGAAAAGAGTGCTAATGCAAAGCGCCTGACTTTTTTTGGGGGGTAACATGACTGCAACAATGACAGGAGCAGGAAGAGAGGGACGCTGTAAAGTATAATGTGGTCGGGAAGTGGGCTTTATACAAACACTTTCACTTGGCACAATGAATGAGAAAGGTGACAGGGTCTCTTTGTAGAGATCACTGGTATGCACACCTCCCTTGTGACCCTTTACAATCTCCCTGTAGTTATTTTATCTATTATTTACTGCATCGTCAGTATGGATGGCAAGCATTAAATAATCTCTATGTACAGTTTAAAGGAAGGCATATTAATCAATTAAAACTATAATTTTTAAATGCTCTGCTATACTTATAATGTATGTAATATATTTAACAGGCACATTGCTCCATCGCACTAATTCTAATTAAGGAATGAGGATTACACATAATTCTCCTCATTGATAGCAGCCAGATGGTATGGACAATAAGCCTGTTCTTAGCTTGATGATGAGTTTGTATCAGGTATATCCCTAGAAAGAGAGAGTATAATTTCCTAGAGTAAATACACCACCAGTCAGAGTACTGGAGCTGCACGCTAGTCCTGAAGTCATATTAAAGGAGAACTATGAGGTGAGTGCTTTTCACTCACCTCATAGTTCTAGCCGACCTGTGCCAATGAGATCGGGAGGTGAGTGAACATATACCGGCGTTCGCTCACCTCTCGATCCTGTCACGGCTCTCTGCCGTGATAGGGGAGGGGCTAGATTCCCCCCTCCCTGCTCCGATCCGCCAGCGCTGACTGGCGGATCGGACGGGGGAGGGGGCGGGTACAGCTGGCTCTGCCTCTAGATAGGCAGAGCCAGCTGTCACCCACGCAGCTGGGCAGATCTTGACATCGATGTCGGGATCCGCTCCGGCGTCTCAGTATACCGCGAGCTGTAGCTCGCGGTATACTGAGCTTAGGGTGATGGGAGGATGCTAGTTTGTGTCCTTCCGTTACCCTAAGGAGAACTATGGGGAAAAGCCCTGACCCTATAGTTCTCCTTTAAATGTAAAGGACAAGGTAGAGAACACATTGGTTTGTCTTTACATTGACTGTAATCAACCCAACAACAGAAGAAAAACCCTAATTGGATCAAGTGAGGCATTCAGTCTTCTTATTTACTGTCTACCTTAGCTCCTATAGTGAGCTTAAATCTTTGTCAAAGGTCCACAATGAGTTTAGGGTGACATACCCATACCTGAGATAAAATATTTCATAGTGATTAGACAAAGAATGTGTTAATGTAGGCAGTTTACAATGCTATGCATGCCAAATTCGTTTAGAATGATCTTACAAAATCCTATACAGTATTTATAATTTCATTCATTTTATGTATTAACCTTAAGCCTGGACAACACAGTAGATTCCAGCACCAGGAGACAAACGCTGTTATTTTTGTTCACATAGTAAAGTCTGTTCATCGGAGGATGTTGGCACAGGTGACAAGTGAGTATGCACGGAAAAGGTTACGTTTATATTAGGGAGGGTAAGTGTTAGGGTTGGGGGTTACAGGAAAGTTTAGTGTTAGTGTTGGGGAAACAGAGAGGGATGGTGTTAGGGTTGAGGTTACAAGGAGGGTCTAGCGTTATGGCCGAGGCTACAAAAAAATGAGTATTGGGGTTGGGTTTGCAAGGAGGCGGGATTAGGTTTGGGATTACAGATAGGATAAGTGTAAGGTTGGGGTTACAGGAAGGGTTAGTATTAAGGTTGGGGTAACAAAGAAGGTTAGTTTTAATGTTGATGTTATAGAGAGAGTTAAAGCTAGGGTTGGGGTTACAGAGAGGCAGAGTGTAAGAGTTAGGTTACAGGGAGGGTTAAAGCTAGGGCTGGGGTTACATTGAAGATTGGTGTTAGTGTTGTGGTTAAAAGCAGGATTGGTGCTATGGTTAGGTAAGTTAGTAAATCAGCCCTTAAAGGAGAACTATGAGGTGAGTGCTCTGCACTCAGCCTCATAGTTCTAGCCGACCTGTGACAGTGAAACTGTCACAGGTCGGCTCAGTAGATCGGGAAGTGAGCGAACTCATACCGGCGTTAGCTCACTTCTCGATCCTGTCACGGCGCTCTGGCGTGACAGGGGAGTGGCTGGATTCCCCCCTCCAGCGCTGACTGGCGGAACGGACGGGGGAGGGGGCGGGTACAGCTGGCTCTGCCTCTGGATAGGCAGAGCCAGCTGTCACTCACGCAGCCGGGCGGATCCAGACATAATTGTCGGGATCCGCTTCAGCGTCTCAGTATACCGCGAGCTCCAGCTCGCGCTATACTGCGGCGTCTCAGTATACCGCTAGCTGTAGCTCGCAGTATACTGAGCCTAGGGTGACGGGAGGACGCTAGTTTGTGTCCTCCCGTTACCCTAAGGAGAACTATGGGGCAAAAACCCTAACCCCATAGTTCTCCTTTAAGCATGAGGCTCTGGCCAATATTGACATAATACCATATGTCTTTCATAAGCCAAGCTGGACAGTAGGAGTGCACTGCAGTAATTCAATACATACCTCTTTGATCCTCTCTGAACTGATTGCAGTGTTGTGACAATCGATGGCTCCTTCTGAGACGATAATGATGTTGAGCCTTTTCTTTCTTGCACGGTTCTGAGGAAGAAGACAAATATTACTTAGTACAGGTCCAGCTCTAGATAAAATAAACACCAAGACCAACCATCTCGAAATCACCAGTGCCTCTGAACATAGTGGAATTCTAGACAAAGAGCATTCAGGCTTATTCAATAATACAGCACATAAGTAAAATTCAATGTGAACAGTGCATTATTCCATAGCAATCAATTAGATTTCAGTTTACTGAACTCAATGCAGTAAAAGATGAAATGATTAAGGTTGCAGTGGCTTACATTCTCCTTTACAAATATAAGAACTATGGCTATATGAGAAGCTTCCTACCTCAGAAAGTTTAGTGCACATTAAGTCTTCCCATCCTTCCTCTGGAGGACATTCAGGGATGAAGACCCAGTCAGCTCCACAAGCTAAGGCACTGACCAAGGCCAGGTACCTGCAAACCAAGAACAGACCAAGAGCAAGGTCATGTATTTATAACAGATGAGTGTCCACATGATTATATGTGTGTGCTCAAATTTTTAGGAAGCTTACCCACAGTGCCGCCCCATGACTTCCAAAACAAAGGTCCTTTGGTGGCTGAAAAAGATACATTTATATTTTTATAATTCAACTGTACCCATTAAAAAAGCCAAAGGCAGATATAAACAACGGCAACTTTTTGAATTCCAAATAAAGATATACCTACATTCTTAAACATTTAGGCTGGAATCACATGGTCTGTGTGCATGCAGCACGTGTGGTCATGCACATACATAGATGTGAACAGGCTCATACAGTTTACCTTTCCTTTCTACACTATACTGCAGTGCAAAGATGTGAACCAGCCACATAGGAAATAATGGGTTTTCTACTTGCAATGCATCTTCATGCAACAAAATGTATGAGCTTTGCATCATGAAAATGTGAATAGGCTATGAAGGGTAAGGACACATTTCTACAAAGTTTCCTTACCCTTTTACCCCCACCACCCTAAGTAGGTCTAGACCCTTGGTTCTCAACTGGTGGGTCCTGACCCAAAAGTGGGTCGCGACCCCGTGTTCAGCGGGTCGCCACATGCCTTTCACTTTTCTAGGTGACACACTCCTCAGCCTCCCCCTATCGCAGCACTGTCAGTTCTCGCCCCCGAGCAGCCATTCAAAATATGCTGCCCGGCGCTGAGTGTCAGCTTGATGTGGGGTGGGCTGAGAGTATGGCCACGAGGGAGATCCCTCCATACGTGCATTGCTTACAGCTCCCTAACGTGCCCTAAAGAGGTGCCTGGACTGACATCACATTCTGGCTCCTGGCACCTCTACAGGACGTGCAAGGGAGCTCTACAAACAATGCACATATGGATGGAGCTCCATCACAGCACAGCAGCCCACCCTGGACCTCAAGCTGAGGATCCACTCCAGTTCTCGTAAGGTATGGAGACTGGGTGAATCTTAAATGTCTGAGTGTGTATGCAGTGCGACTTGGGTCGTGACTTAATGACCAAGGACAAATCTGGGTCCTGAGGTTGCACAGGTTGAGAACCAGAGACCACACCGCAAATATTTGCATATGCGCACTGTAATGCGCTGCAGCATAGGGGTGCTTTTATTATCGTATATAACAATTGGAATGCCATTTAGAACGGTTAGCACTACAATGCAACACACATATACCGTTGTGTTAACCTGCGTGGCGTTGCTGCAGTACTGCAATGCAATAGTCTTTTTCATAGACATAGGTACCATAACAATAGTTGGTATTGAAACATTTTATGTATACAGAGTACATATCAGAGCAGGTAAATCATAAAACACACATAAAAGGCATACATACAATAAAATAGTAAAAGGCAGTCAAGTATATAAATGTGACTTGTGCACAAACCCACAACTTTTTTTTTTTTTTTCAATCTGCCAGTGTAAGATTGAAAATAAAAAGCAGAAATGGACAGGTGGATGTGCAACACGGACAGTTCTTCTTTCAGATATTATACAAAACTCAACTGTTTACCATTGCTTCTAAAATTTACTGTATAGTGTGATAGCTAAGGTGGTCCACTACATTAATGATAAAGCATCGGTAGAAACAGATCTAACACCTCTATGTTCACATTTAGGCCATTCCTTTCACATACAGACAACTCTTACAGTATTATGAAGACGCATCTTCAAACAGTATATCCCGGTACATTGTTTTAGAAGTGTATTGTTTTATGGCCATTGCCGCAGTTTATAAGACACCTACTTTGTTGTTGTGTTTTACTTATTGCATTACATTATTTTCTATAGTTCTTTGTGCTGTAATTTAGTAGATGTAAAATCTAGGTGTGTGCCTACCCGCACTTCAAAAGAAAACCGGATAATTACCAACAACTGTGAATAGCCTGCATTTAAGTTGACCTGCCATGAAAATGAATGGTCCATTCTCTTGAAAGCACCATATCCCCCAAAGACAAATGGCCTATAAACGCATTATATAGACGCTAATAAAGCTTCCAGAAGTTGCAGTTGATCTCACTGCACCTTATCGCTGCCTCCTAGGAAAGCTGGGTTCCCTAAATACCATGCGTACCAGCTCTTCATTCTCGCAGGACTGCAAGTGCTCAGCTTTCTCAGGAGGCAGCGGTGAGGCACGGTGATGTCACCTGAGCATCCTTCCTTTAGGAAGCCCGGAGGTGCTGACAGGGCCACCCACTACATACATTTTGGCTGATTCAGCAGTAATTGGCCAAATCCGAGCTGTGTATGGCCAGCTTAAGGGCTCATTTACACCTCTCCAGTGGGATGTGCTAATGCAATGCATACTAACCCATGTTATGTGCATTAGCGGGTTGTGGTGCCATTAGTTCTCAATAGCTTTAAATGGATTAAAAACTGGGCATGCACCATTTTTTCTAGCGCAACACACCACAATGCATAGGAGTGCATTATCATGTGTTGTGGTGTACTGCAATGCATGCGGGTCAGAGGTGCATTGGGTTACTGTGTTGGGCTGCTATTGAGAACTAATGGAACCACAACCCGCTAATTTGAATGAGCTGCCTTAAAGCGAAGCATATTAATAGGCACAAATATGCAGATTAACAAGCTTGTGTTAACGCAATGCTCTTGAAGGAAATCTCGTGATCGTACGATAATTGGCAGGTGTATGGAAGGCGTGCGACCGTTTCTACTGTACGGTCGCACATCTTTTGTCTTACGAGCAGGCTTGAAAACCTGCTGAGAATCGTACGATTTTCGGTGGGTTTGTGGCCTGCTCGTAAGACAAATGCCGAACGGGCCGGTGTGCACAAGCGTACACTGCCCGTTCAGCATTGCAGTCACCGGAAGCCCGCCCCTCAGCCGAGCAGAACCCATATGCTGAGCCGTAGTGACAGGCGGAGTGTTGAGAAAGGTTGGCCGAAGCCGACCTATCTCCACGCAAATGACAGCAGGGTGGAGCAAGCCGTGATCTCACAGCTCGCTCTGCCCAGTGTTAATGGCAGATTAGCATCCCCAAATGACTTGGGGACGCTGATCTGACATTAAACAATAACAACTGGGTGTAGCCGGCCGTAAGGTCACGCCCATTTGTTATTCATTGCCCGGGACCTGCTAGAAGACTATAGCAGGTGCCGGCCAATAGGAAACGGTTGGGTGGAGCTAGCGGTGATGTCACCGACATTCCAAGTGTTTATATTTTGCCGGCATCTGTCAGATTCGACATTATGAGACGGAAGTTCTTCGCGTGCGGTAAGGTCCACGTGTGTCGTTTTTTTTTGTTTCAAAATATTTTGAGAATTTGAGAATATGGGCGAATGGTAGCAAGTGAGCTGCCGGAGTTTCGGCTCAGCCAATCCCGATTTTGGATCGCCTGAGTCGAACTCCTTCTGCACTTCGGCTGACCGAATGCAGCCGATATACGGTTGATTTTAGCCGATTTGTGGCTGAAATCAGCCGTACAAGGTTGAAGTGAATAGCCGAACAGCGTTCAGCTCACCTCACTTCGGCTCGGTTATTTACTCAGCTGCTTTTGGCAGCTTTGTGAATAACCCCCTTTGTTTATCTTGTGGAACTGCACTGTGCCACTAAGAGCTCCCTCTAGTGGTTAATGTTCAAATCTCTATACTTACACAACAACAAAAAATATGCAAACACAAACTTTAAAACATGTAAAGTCACATAAGAAAATGACTTTACGTTAAACACTGCAGCGCACTAGACTTTATTGAGCATATGACAACCTTTTCTAGCTGAAAAATGCCTTGTGATGCTTCCATGGGTGTAATGCGCATGGAGGAAGGGGCATATACAAAACCATGGCAGTGCACGGGCTACTACCTCTACTACTGCCATTGTCATATCATACACGCCTTTATCTGGCTGTAACAGCCTATCTCCCTTCATGTAAAGTGGTTAGTGTGCTCATCCTGGACCTGTTCTCTCATTTGCCCTCTATGTCTAATGAATTTTGCTGTGCTCTGTGCACTGACAGCCCGGGGACATTTCCATTCCACGCTCAATGATTTCTCTCTAACCCTCTGCCGCTGATAATTAAGCAAAATAAAGCAACTACTGTACGTGCACATTTAAAAAAACAACAAACACAATCAAATGAATAAGTGCATAGATACATAAAAACATCCATTAAAAGGTATGAAATTGTTTTTGGATGAAGCCAGCTTAGTCATGTGAAATCTGCCTACACAGATTGCATCACAATGGCAGATGAAAATTGAAATCTGGCTTGCAGTAAGAGTGAATGCTTTATCGGGGAAATGAAAGGGGGAGTTAACATGGGCTAGAGAGCTGAGGGTGGGCATCGCAGGTGTGATGTTTTACATTTTGTACAAAGAGAAGACAGGGGTAGGGCAGTGGCACAGTGTCTATAGAAGTACAGAACGTGCACAGTCCTTCCTAATATCACATGGCAGGAGTAGGGGGATCACCGACTGTGCATTACTCTACACATCCTGACAGGTAAAACAGATGTTATATATAAATGGATCAGAACTTTTATGGGTTGGACTTGATGGATGTATGTCTTTATTCAACCCCAAATACTATGTAACTATGTAACTTTTTAGCATTAGCATCTGTGTCATTTTGTGCAGGACTGGTACCTACTGTATCATTGCCGATGGTTGAGGTATTGAAAAATGAAAGTATGCTGTTCCAAGGGTTAAGTCAGTACTAGGGATTAGGTTAGGGTTTTAGGTTAGATTAGGTTAGTATTAAGGTCAAAGGTTATGATTAAGGTTTATGTGACTATGTTTTAGGTTCATTTTTGGGAGTTAGTTTAAGTTTGAGGGTTAGGTTAGGTTTTAGGTTCAATGTTTTAGGTGGAGATTTAAAGTAAAAGGTCCATGGTAGGGATTAGGTTAAGTGTGAAGGGGTCAGATAAGGAAAGGTTAAGTGTTAAATTCTGCTAAACAGTTTGGGAAAGGTTACACATCAGGGACCCTTATGGGCAAAACTGTTCATCATACTTTTTTCAGCATCGAGAACTACTGCACCTGATTTCTGGCACCAAGAGGAATGAACAGATATACTGTATAGGTGCTTCAGCTATGGAGAGAATTTATTGATTTTGCTGAGTTCCTTTGCAACCAAACATCTAAGGCT